CCCCAGGCTCATCTCGAACTCGCAGAGATCCTCCTGGCTCAATCTCCTAAACGCTGGGATTATAGGTATGTGCCACCACTCCTTGTTCCAGGGCCACACAGTGGGTGCCCTGATCCGGGGCTGAGAACGCACGGCATGTGGGGCCAGGGATTGAACTCGGGTCCTTGGCTTACCAGGCAGGTGCTTATGCCTCTGAGCTACCTCACCAGCCCCATGATCCCAATTTTAGAAGCATGCAAATGGATGCCTTACACACACACTTGTGTAAACACACACATACATACCCAGGGCAAAAAGTGGAGAAAATGCTTTATTTTAGTAGTATCATTTCTAAGTAGGATATCTATTTTTATCTTTCTACTCTTACTTTCCAAATGTTTTTATTTTTTTTATTTTTTATTTTATTTTATTTTTTTTTTGGTGGAACCAGGGATTGAACTTAGGTCTCACGCTTGCCAGGCAAGCGCTTATTCAGCTGAGCCATCTCCCTGGCCCTTTTCCAAATGTTTTTAAATGAATTATCATTTGCTTTCCTGTTCAAAGGGAAAACAGTGGCACAAAGCAAAAGCCACACAAAGGCTAGGCACAGCACACACACCTGGAGGCCCAGCTCCTTGGGGTCCCAGTTTGGTGGACCAAGTTGAGTAACTTCCCAAGACCTTCTCAGAATGAAGACTAAAAATATAAAAAGAACCTCAGTGCAGTTCAGTGGCAGAAAGAAAAGAAACTCCAGGAAAGGTTTCACTGCTCTAAACACAGTCAAGAAATTGGCCACAGTAGCTGCCCCTGCGGGAGGTAACACATTTTGCCTAGAGAAACTTTTAAAATCACAAATAGGCAGGTGCACAACATGCCTGCAATCCCAGCACTCAGAAGGCTGAGGCAGGAGGATCACGAGTTCAGGCCAGCCTGGGCTACGGAGCAAACTCCTATCTCAAAATAAATAAACAAACAAAAGGGGACCAGGGATTTAGTGGAGTGGCACAGCACCTGCCTGGGGATCCCAAGGTCCTGAGTTTGATTCCCAGTACCCCTCACCAAAAGAAACCCAATTATTGAGTTTTGTTTTCCCCATGTTTTTATTTATTTATTTATTTATTTATGGCGGAACCAGGGATTGAGCTCAGGCCCTTGTGCTTGCCAGGCAAGCACTTATTCTACTGAGCCATCTCCCAGCCCCTGTTGTCCCCATGTTTTAAATGCCATTTTCCCAAGGAGGCTCCTGCTCACCAACCGTCATGGCCCCTGTACCCCACATACCCCCAGTGACAGTCTTGTGACACTGGGCCAACCTGGTCCTGTGCACTGTCCTACTTCTTGTCCCTGTCCCCATATTCAGAAGCTCCACAAAGTGTTGCCCACTGGCCTGTTCCTGGCTCCTCAACAAATATTTGTGAGGTACCGGAGGTGACACCACAACGTGTCCCACTCCGCCAGTCCTGCGGCGCCCAGAGGCCATGCAGGCAGAAGCACTCCCACCCCTCCCAGTGCACCTGACTCCCACCTGTGCACCGGATGCCCACGGCGGTCTCTGTCATCAAGAAGCCCACGGGGCACACTCGGGCCACCTCCTGACACCCACCATGGTTGCAGGTCAGGTCACAGCCGTATTCCCCGCAGGGTCTGTGGGCGTCTAAGCAGGCATGGTACAGTGAGCCCAGCTCCCCACACAGGGTGTCCCTGAGTCCTGTTGGGAGGGGGCTCTGGGGCAGGCAGGCCTGAGTTTAGCCCAGCTCTGCCCCTCTCTGGTCCTGCGACTTGGGCAAGACTGTGCCTGGGCCTTCCCACCTGCCCAGGCGCCAGTGAGGGACCCACTGCCTGCCTCGTCACCCCAGGGCTAGCTTGGGTTCCATCAGCCACACTTCCCTGTTACCTGGGCAGGTGGCCCCTTGCTCCCCATCCACACAGGAGCAGACATTTGGCGCAATGCAGATGCCACTCCCACAGCCAAAGGAGCAGAGGGCTAAGGGAGAGATTCCACTGAGGGGCTGGGCAGGACCTCCGCCCTTCCCCCGAGCAGCTGCTGGTGCAGAGAGGCACTTACGCAGGGTGCAGTGCCCGCTGCCCACTGAGGGCACCCAGCCTGGACAGCAGCCATTCCCGAAGCCTGAGAGGCAGACATGGGGGCCCAGGCGGCGCCTGCGGAGACAGACAGCATGGGGCACGCAGGGTACCTGCCTGTGGGAGAGCACAGGCCGTCTGCGGGAGAGACGACGCAGAGGCCAGTAGCACCAGCAGTGGGCAGGAACTGTCCAGCTGTGGGCTTGGCCGCATTCAGCGGCTGAGGGAGCTGCCACTGCCGTGGGCATTTTCCAGAGTGCCTACACGTGCCTCCTTGTGCTGGGGACGGGGACAGATGGAGCTGAAAACAGTCTATGTCCAGTGGGATGTTCTCTGGAGGGGGTACCACAAGTACAGAGATGTGTCCCTGGCCTGAGGACCCTTCCCCTCCCCCATCCACTTTCTCAAGCAGCAGCCTGAGGCAGGGCTGGTGCGCTGGCTCCTCAAACCAGGCTACAAGGACAGGTGCGCCAGGAAGTGGCAGGTGGTAGTTGTGCAGGGTGCCCAGAGCCTGGGACAGATGGCAGAAGCTGGGGAAGGCGCCGGGGTCATGGCCACGTGCCAGGCCACCACCAAGGTCCCTGGCTTCCCGGCCCAGGCACCAAGAGCATTGTGTGCACTCTCCACCTTGCGGAGACCCAGGGTCCTGGAGGGCGTGGACTTGAGCAGGGCAGCCCCCAGCCCACCAAATCTAAGGGCCCCCACCCCCACTGCATCCCCAGCCCAGCGGCCCCTACCTCTCGGCAGCGAAGGGCCCCGGCTGCGTCCTCCCGGAGGGCCCTCGGCCCAGAACCGCGGGCCGCAGGAGCAGGAGCGCGGCGCAGGCGGCCCCGACCAGCAGCCCAGCCCGCATGGCCGGGGCGGGGGTTCCAGCTGCACAGCCGCCCTCCTGCTGACCCTCCTCCTGCGCCGCGCCGCCGTCCTGCGCCCGACACAAAAGGCCGCGCAGCACGCCGCTGGCGCTGGGGAGGCGCAGGCCAGGCAGGCGGAAGGGGGCAAAGATCGGGGACCCCGGGGCGGGGTTTCGCTCGCACACCCCAGGCGGCTTGGAGTGGCTTCCTGCAGCTGCCCAGGCCTGGTGAGAAGCCGCAGGGACTGGGCCGGGCCAGCACCGCGGCCCCTTGTTGGGAGAAGGTAGGTGAAGCCGAGTGATCCGACCCAGGCTCGCCCCACCCCCTAGTGTGCGGGGCTCTGACATTGATCCCTGGCCAGGGAATACTGCTAGGCTCGACCCTGGCGGGTACTTGGCACCAGCGGAAAGGGCCAGGTGCCCGGCGGGGGTGGGGTGTAGCTCAGGATCGGAACTGGAGGGCCTCTGGACCACTTGCTGGTGCAGCCGGTGATGGGGGTAGGCAGGCAGGCTGGGCAAGGGGCGCATGGGAGAAACAGAAAGGAGGACTGCCCTGGCCACCTGGCCCAGTCAGTCCCTGGCCACCCCAGCCCAGGCAGCCACGCTCCTGCACACACCCGCAGCACTAAGACACACACTAGCTGTGAGCAGTGAGTCCCTCTCTGAGTAACATTTAGCACTTGCCTCAAGTGTCCACATCCCCCACTCAGGCCCCATTCGTTCAGTTCAGCTGTCCACTTAACTTTGACACCAGTGGCCACTGTGATTGGACCCTGGTCTCATTCCTAGGGTTCACCTAGCCCCTCACAGCTGGTTGGTCCAGGCCCACCTACCATGCCACCAGCAAGTCGCTGCACTTTGACAAGAACCATGCCAGTCTCAGGTTCCAGGAGCAGCTTTGCCCGAAGCCCCAAAGTCCCCAAGGTCAACCAAGAGGCTCCTCTCTGACGGGGGCTTCCCCCCACACGGGCACACACTGTGCCTCTCTGCCCAGCTCCTGCCCCTCAGTGAGGAGCCTGAATGCCCACCTCCCCCAGCACAGTGGGGATTCTCGTCCCTCCTGTCCTGGGACCTCTGGCTGGCCTGGCCCTCTTACAGCCTTGGCCCCTTCAGCTTACCATCTACATTTTCCTGCCTGTCCCTGAGGCTCCTCAGTCACCAAGGGATCCCCGGCTGAGGGTAGATCCAAGCTGTCGGCCCTCCGTGTGTGTGCTGGCATTTCATGTTGAGGCGGCCAGGGCGAAGCTCCTCCTCACACCATGCAGGGGACCAGAAGCACCAGAAGCGAGCTCAGGTCAGCCTTTCAGCTGGCGGCAGGGGTGCTGGAGGAGCGGTGTGGCTGAGGTCAGCAGTTTCCAGGAAGTGAGTGGATGCAGCCGCCACTGCTCCAAGCTCGGTGGGTGGGGAGCAGGGCTTTTTTTTTTTTTTTTTTTTAATGTATTTTAGTACAGAGTCTACAAGGTCTCACTACACAGACTGGACTCATACTGATTCTCCTGTTTTCAGCCTCCCAAGTGCTGGGATTACAGGTGCAGGTTACTACGCCCAGCCTTGGTCACCACAGCACACTGGGGATCAAACTTTGGTCCCTGCACCTGTCTAAGCAGGCACTTTAGCCTGCTGAGCACTTCAGCTGGCCCAAGCCTGCCACTCACGGTGGTACCTTTAGGGGTAAGGATTCGAGCCTAAATCACCAGTCTGATGGGGGCTTTCCAGCGTGGAGCAGGCCTTTTTCACTCCGACCTCAGCTCTGAGAGCTCAAGTCTCAGCACCGAATCTGGGGCCAATGTGGCTGCTGACAAGCCGGTTAGCGTCCCTCTAAAGACCTCACCCTCTCAGGCACCGCAGCAGAGCAGGTGAAGAGGGCAAGCAACAAGAAACGCACAGGCCTCAGAAGACGCCAAGCCAGGAGCTCCCTCAAACCTCGCCTCCCAGATCTTAGTTTGAAATGGTTTCCCAACAGTGTCTGAAGGGTTAGTGTCTAGGGTCCACGGAACCCCACCAGGGGACAGGACAGCCTTTCTTCCGTCAGGACCACGGCAGTTGCACGAGCCACTGACCCACGAGCTGAGGCGAGGGGACGAGCACTGCCTGCTGGATGCCATGGAAAACCTCCAAAGCGCCCCACTGTGTCTTGTGCTTCCAAACCAGGAACTGCAGGTTCACTTCTTGAGTTCACTTCATGAAGCCGGAGGAGCACAAGGGAAACTGAGCCAGTGAGAGCCGCTGCAGCTCCCAAGGAGCAAGGGTAAAGGGGGCCAGGCCGGGCCAGGTCAGACTGCCGCGCAGAGGAAGCAGACCCAGCGGGCCTGCTGCAGGCACAACGCCCCACTGAGCTCTCAAAGCCAAGACCCACAGTCCTTGGAAATTCACGGGAATGACTGTGTAGAGGAAAGGCCCAGGCTGTTTGGGCAGGTGGCAGAAATGAAAACGTATCTTAGATTCTACTTTATTTGGTAAAATTCTGAAACTAGCAACCAAATCACAGCTCTGCCTCCTCTCTGAGGAAGGGAGCTTCCCGGCCAGGTGCCACGGGTCACCTCCTCCTCTCAGGCATACTGTACCGAGCTCTGTGCCTGGAGGCCAGAGAGGGAAAGCCAAGGGCAGCCCTACGTCTAGGGTCAGGAGCCCCTCTGGCCATCCCTCCACCCACAGCCCAATCCAGAAGAGCAAAGCATGAGGGCGACACTGGGACACACACACGGCACACAGCTTCCTGTCAGCCCAAGAGCTGCAGAAGACCTCCCAAGGGCAGTGCACAGGGTCCAAGTGAGGTGGGATGCGTGTGCGACCCACAACAGTCCAGGGACAGGCGGCTCCTGAGCTGGCTGAGGCCCTTGAGCCCGTGGGTCCTCCCGCAGGGCCGTGGCTGTGGCCAGCTGGCTGGAGGATGAGGACACGAGGGAAGGGGCGGCGGCCCGGCTGGGCTAATGGATCCGGGTCAGCTCCTCCACCACCTTGATGAGGTCGTCCGCAGTGGCCTCACGTTTCATCCCGCTGCCGTCGTCGTACTGCAAGCAACCAGGACTTGGGGTCGGGCGGCACGGCACCCTGCCCCCCAGGATCCCACAAAGTACTATCATTAAATCCACAGGGCAAAGCAGGCCCTGGGGAGCATCACCCCAACTCAGATCTCCAGCAACTCCGGGGATCCTCCTGGGGGCATCACCCTCCAGAGACACCAGGCAAGTCCTGCTACCTGCAGCACTAGCCCAGGAGGCAGGGACTTACAGGGCTCCAGGATCTCAGCTGTGCCCCCTGCCCCTATTTGTCAGGAGGACCCCAAGGGCCTCACCAGGCTACTGCCCCCGGGACAACCCACCTGCAGGTTGGCCACCACCTCCTGCATCTTGGGCCGGCTGATGTCCAGGAAACTCTCGATCAGGTCCCCGTCGATGAAGCCTGTGGCCTGCTCTGTCTTGCGCTCTGTGTGGAAGGACCTCCAGGTGGGCGTCTGGTTAAGGAACGTCTGCTTGGGAAAGCCTCTGCACCAACCCATGGCCTCCAGGACCACCAGGGCCAGACAGGGCCAGTTTCACTGCAGCTCATTCCTTCCCAGGCACTTTGGGAAGTCAAACAGGAAACATGAACATCACTGACTAATCCAACTGTCGCCAGGCAGATGGACCTCAAAATGACCAGAGACCGACCGGCCAGATGCTTGCCTACAGCCAGACACATGGGTGGCTTCATTTCTGCCGTCTGTGCTACCAAGTCAGACCCGGGCCTTCACAATGGGCTACATCCCAAGGACCTTTTCATGTCTGAGACAGGGTTTCACTAAGTCACCCAGACTGGGCTTAAACTTGCAACCCTGCTGCCTCAGATCCCAGACCGCCTGGCTTGGATGGTTTCAAAAAGTGCTCTAGGTGAATCAGACAGCCATGCCCAAAAAGAGCTACTTGTCTGGGCCTAGGCCAGGGCCCCCTAATTAGTCAACTGAGGCTCCTGGAGAAGCCCTACTCCTCAGCATGCCCCAAGCACGGGCTCAGCCCCCACACTAGCCTGGGAGGAGCTCTGTTACCACCCGCGTGGCCTGGACACCGGACAAGCGGCCCTGGGGCCTCGTACGTGGGGGATGGCTCCTCCTGCTGTGTGTGCTCAGGGCGCTGCAGCACTCAGTGCAGTGGGTGGCTCAAGAAGGATATAAGGAGTGCTCGATCTTGCCCACACTTTTGATGACTTTATTGAGGCGATTCTGCATGTCCAACAGGAGGTTGTACCAGCTCTCTGACAGGGAGGTCACCAGCCCTGGAGGAGGAAGGGGACAGTGGGCACTGAGGAGCCTGGCAGCCAGGCGGTCACCTGCAGTAGGGCAAGGCCGGTGCATGGAGCCCCCTGCCTCGCCCCTGGCTCCCTGTGCTCACCGATCATGCCGTTGACTGTGCCAAAGAGAACAGAGCCCTGAGTGGGGGTGGAGGTCTCGCCCAGGTTCTGCATGACCAGGGAGCCGTGACAGAACACGTTGACGAACTCGCCCAGGTGGAAGAGCCCCACCTCCTGCAGGTGCTGCCGCTCCTCATCAGTGGTGGCAGCGCTGAAGGCAGCACAAGAAGTCACTGCCTGGACGGCGGCACTGAGCGGCCCCTAGAGCGACTTGGGCCAGTCCTCTGTCTCGATCCCCTCAGGAAGGCCCGCTGAGCCCAACCCTGGGTCCTACAGAACCGGGCCACTGCAACAGGGCCTGCGTGGTTCCTCACCTGTCCTTCTGACACACGAACAGGTTGAAAGCATTTTCAGCCCCCAGGAAGTTGTCATCGTCCAAGATCTCCACTGCACTCATCCAATTCGGATTGAAGTCCCGGGCAATCTTGACACGGGCAAGGCATGACAGGGACGGCCATCAGCAGCCGGCAGGCCCACCTTCCCTGGGATTCCCAAGGGCCCCCAGGACAGCCACCATCCCTGGTCCAAGTGGGGCCCGGCCTGACTCAGGCGGGGACAAAGGACACTACTGGGCAGCATACCCACCCCAGTCTGCTCATCCGTCACCCCCAGAGTCCCTTGGGCAGAGGGGCTCAGGCAGGCCTTCCTGCCCCAGACCAAACCTCCTCGAAGTTGCCCTCCATGGGCTTGTAGGCAAGCAGCAGCACGGAGCGCATGAGGTCGCCCACCAGGATGAAGTCGCCCTTGGTCTTCAGGTAGAGCGCCATGATGTTGTTGTAGTGGTTGCACTCCGTGCGCAGCTCTTTCTCCGTGGTCCACTCATAGAGCCGCACCTGGGGGAGGGCAGAGAGGTTTCTGCCTTAGCAGCGTTCGCTGCTGAGCTAG